CCCCCTCCCCCCACCCCCACCCCCCAACCACCCGCCCAACACACGTCTTTCCCAAGTTTCTCTGCGGATTTGGGCTCCTCTCAGCGAGCACAGTCCAGACCCATCTTCAAAAAAAATAATAAAAAACTTCTTGGACGTTTTTTTGGCTCGTCTGGTTTTGCCGGACGGAACCCCCCCGGTCCATCTGGACCGGGCGTCGGCCTAACCCAGGTTTTCAGCTGTTTTGAACATAGTGCGAGGATTCGGGTCCCCGGCAGGCCTAAGGGGCCCCTGTTGCATCTGTGCCCGCCCTAAGTGAAGGCGGGCCTAACTAATCACGAGAGGCCCTCAGCTGTCAATTTCGTATTTGGGGTCCAGACAGTTGTGATGCACCAGTTGGTTGAAGGGAAATACAGGCCGAGCAACAAAGACATTCCACGGTTTTCTGGGCCTTTCCAAGAATGCAGGCCCTGGGCGAGAATGGCAGCCTCATACACTGACAGTTGGGAGGCCCAACCGAAAGAGGCCCAATAGCTGCAACACAAGCGCAGCATCCTGGGGCCTACCGGGAGCTTCTGGGCCCAGGCCCAGTCCAGCCAAGCTGCGAAGGCAGGCAGGCTCATTCCATATAGGAAAGATCTCGCCACCGGCAGCCTCATTCAGGCACTCGCATGCTAGCGGCAGCGCTGCTGGAGCGGACGCTCACAGGCTGCTGCTGGCGCTGAGAGGCGAGGTGCTAGCGCGTGCGGTCGTGCAGGGAGCAGGGCGCTGCTGAGGGCAGCACCATAGCCCAGCCTCCATAGCTGGTTGGGCTTGGACTCAGTGAGGCGCAGGGGTGGTCTTCGGGTGTACAGAGGGAAGACGTGGGTGTAAGACGAGGGAGAGAGAGAAGGATGATGATGTGAGGGCACATACCTGGTATTAGCAATGGTCTGCTACGGGCGACATCTTCAAGTACTTCGTTGCAGCAGAGCTTACATCTTTACTCATTTTCCTGCAAGGGAGAGGGTGGCAAATGCCACCGGTTTGGTTTCCTGTCTTTGTAAGTGTCACATACAAGGTATAAGAATCGATAGCTCCTTCCGAGCATAAGCGACTGGTCAGGGTGTCATTGTGTGACCAGGATTGTGTCATGGTCCTGATTTCAAGATTCAAAGCGAAGTCTGGAACCAGGGCTAAGTAAGTTTGCTACTGCACAGCTATTTTTCTCGATTTATGCATTGCATCTTCTTCTTGTTTTCTAGACTTGTAAGAGCGCACCAAAACACAGACTGAGAACGCTGCTGATTTCTGAGTTCTGCCACTGGAATGGATGCCTTGCTGAGATTCCCGCATACTGCTGAGTTTTCTAAGTCTGTGTGTGTGCGTGCTTGATGGTCTGTGTGCCTGTCTGAGTGCTGGACGGCCTGAGTGTGTGACCCCCAGGGGTACTTGCTTGCTTGAAGGCCCGTAGGGCTGGTACTTACCTGTGGCCATGACATTGAGGGCTGCAGCGGGGGAAAACACTCGAGTGGCGGGGCACGGGGCCCGCGACACTTAGGGCAGCGGGAAAACACTCAAGTAGCAGGTAGGCCGGTACCACACCAAGTAGCAGTGGATGTGCCGGGTACTTGAGGCCGAGCAGAAGAAGACAAAGTTGGCATTTTTAGAGGCCCGGTAGCCTTAGGCTACGTCTAGGCGGGTACCAGTCCGACCAGTCTGAGTCTAGGGCCTGTACGGGCAATATCAGAGTCTGCAATGATGTTTCCCTCCGAAAGGGAGGAGGTACCGGTTGCTTGGGAGGCCGAGCGGCCTGGAAGTCACCGCCCAAGAGGCAAGTAGGCCGCTATATCTTCGGGCTGAGCCAAGAGCTCAGCATCATTCTTTGGTGTGCAAGTTTGGTGACACACTGCTTGGAGCGTTGGCTGGAGCAGCGCTGGACACTTTGGCGCTGCTGGCAGGAAGGAGACCGGGAGCTTCCACCTCGGCTTTGGTGGAGCTCTACCGGTAGTAGGAGGAGGAAGAAGAGGACTGGGGGAGGAGATTGGCGAGGTACCTACCTGGCTATGGTGGACACCATCTTCATCATCTTGATAGGCGCTGCATCTGGAAGGCCCCAGTTGGGGTAGTGCCGCACCAAGGGAGCTCGAGGAAGAGTCAGGCATGGCAGCTTGATGAGCAGCGACATAGCTGCTTTGGGTTGTCCTTTGGACAGGAGGGCAGCGACATAGCTGCTTTATGTTGTCCTTTGGACAGGAGGGCCGAGCCCTTAGTAGTCCGCCATAGCCTTGCCCTACACGAAGAGCAAGAGGGAAGGATGGCCATGGCTATGGTGTACCTCATGTTGAGCCTGGAGTAGAAGAGGGATTCGGACATTGATTCTGGTTCAGCCATTCAACATTATTATTGTTATTTCTTGTTTGAATAAGAGGATAGGAGATAAGGAGGAGGAGAGCGATTGCAAAGAAGGAGAGCATTATCATTGGTCTATGCTGATGTACATCTTCTTCTTCTTCTTCTTCTTCTTCTTCTTCTTCTTCTTCTTCTTTCCCTCTCTCTCCTCTGAAGTTCATTCATTTCTTTTTGCAACTGGACGGCATTGTACTTTCTGTTGAATTTGTACTTTGAAATTGACCAGGATCATAACAGACTTCTTACTTCACCATTCTCTTGTCCCTTTATTTTGTGCTACATATATGCACTTCAAATTTGAGTTTGTGACATAAATTGAAGCAGGATCACAGCAACTGCATACACTCACATAACCCCTTTGCCGATGTTCATGACACTATAACCACAGCACACACCAACAGTGACGATCAAGGACCATCATTGGACATACCTCTACTCTCAAAAAGGGCTCTCTCAACAGAGAAAGAGTTATTCATTGTGAACTGGATGGGGAACTTCTGGTACGACATATGCAATCGCAGCATCCAGAAGAGTCCCATGTGGAGCACATGACAATCTACTGCAAGATTCTCCTCACCGCACTTTCTCGATCTAAATTCTTCTGAGTTGGAAGGATTCGAAATCTCAAATGCTTTCAGAGCCACTTTGTCATAAAGGCGATTACAATATTTTCAAATACGGAGGTGGAGGGAAGACAATTAGAAGAGCAGCTCAAGATACCGACCTGCTCATCCATGATCTTACGCCGATGACGCTTCAGAATTGCTACACAAACATAAAGGTGAAAGTGATCGGAGATGTGGCGGCTCCACAAGACTTCCCACAGACGCAAAACATCGTCATACTCAAACTCCCTGCCACATTGTTGAAATATTTGAAGGAATAAAAAGCCACACATGTCACAACAATTCCTGCGGAAACCCGTCTTCATCATAACAATTTTTTTTTTTTTTTTTTTTTTTTTTTTTTTTTTTTTTTTTTTTTTTTTTTTTTCAAACAGGACCTTACAATCCTGGCTCCTTTTCCATTCTGGGGAGCGTCAGTCCGGTTCCTATTCCACCGCCAAGTCTGAATAACATTACAACAGTAACGCACTCACACTTCCTTCCGTCTGGCCGAAGGACCCCTGAACAGCATTGATTACTCCAACGTAGTGGAGGATTGACTGTCAGCTTGCCCTGCTTTTGTCTTTCCTCTCAGGTCTGTTAGCTAACCTGCCAGATCTATCGTGAAAAACTAGAAAGAGCTAAGTGGCTACTCAAGCTGACTCTTGTGACCCCTCCTTGAAAACCTGTCCGTATGTCTCAAAACCGTCTTGTCTCTCCTTAAATCTGTTTACAAAACGGTCCCAAAACCCTAAACCCTAAACTCTCCTTTTGAAGTTTTGCAAGGAATCCCCCGGACCATCTTAACTCATCAGCTCATAAGGCCTGCAGTGGGACTTATTCATTTTGTAACTGGAGCACTTGTCTTTTTCACCCCATATCAGAATTTAGCCAGTCTTTCCATCGTGTATGGAAGTCAGTCAGCATTGCAGCCTTGCCTCCTGCCATCCATTCTGTGAAGAAATTTTCGTTTAATTCTCCTCTAATATTCTTCATTGTCCGGCTTGGACTTTCTCGTTTTGTATCATATACCCAGGATCTCTGCTTGACTCAAAGATCTTGCCTCCTCCGTACCTTCTCCCTTGGGGGTGCACGGTCTTCAAAAGTTCTGCAGCTCGTTTCCTTCCAGATGGACCACAGTCATACCTTTCGCTTTTTGCCTTCCTGGGGTCCCGTGTTCTTCCTCTTCCGTGCGCCTTCCACTGCCATCTGAAACTGTACTGGGCTGTTAGACGAGGGGGGAAATTGGTGGAGGTATAACGGGGGAAGGAAAGAAGATGTGATAGGATGGAGAGGGTCTGGGGGGGTGGGTGTCTTGGCATCATAACAACTTCTAATCAACTAGGGACCTAGGGTATTAAATATCATGGCTCCGCCTCTGCTCAGTGGAAACAATGACCGTCAAATTGTTCATTGTCATACAGATGTTATTTCTGGCTATTGACACTCGCAACGAGCGAGATTCTCAATGCTCACCGTCGAAACACTTCACAAGCATACACTAGACACAAGACTCAGATAGCAAGATGGAGGCGACTGTGGAGAGAAGAGGGCGACGAAGGAAGGGGGAGGAATAATAATTGCATTAATAATCAATGATTACAATGTCCACCTTCTCACTCTTTAGCAACGTGTCCTTCTCCTACCTCCCTCTTCTCTCGCCCCCAGGTCTCTCCTCGACCAATGCCCAACACTGATTCTGTCTCGCCACTCACATCACAATGCCGCTCTCTCTTTCTCCAAGCAATCTCCTCTGCCGCATGGCCTTCTCTTTTTTTTTTTAGGTTCTCGCTCCTACCATTCTGGGAGCGACAGTCCGGTTCCTATTCCCCCGGCAAGTCAATATGGAATACATACAAGACTCACGCACGCTCCTCCCCATTATGGCTGAGAGGCCCGAGTGGGCAGCATTGATTACTTCCCTGAGGAAGGATGTACCACCTCTCACCCCTGCCTAATCTAGCCTGTACTAACTCTGCCTGCCAATCTGTCTGATCCCAGATCTGCTCCTCTCAGCTATGAAGCTGTCGGTTAGCTATGATTATGCAAGAGCATTCTGGAACACTTATGCGCCTTTTGAAGCCTCTATAACTCTATAACAGCATTTGCCTTGTTTCCGTCTAAGCCGTAAACCCTAAACCCTCGGTCTTAATGCTGTCCTGATTTATCTGTTCCAAGACGTCCACCGCATGGCCTTCTCAATGCATGTGCCAGCTCAAACAAGCCTGGAAACGACAATGTAGCACACCTTCAGCAGGAGAGAAGTAATCGCCATGAGGAGCATCAGTCAGCCAGAAGACACCAGGTAAGCCAACCTTTCTCTCACAACAGCCTGATCTCACCTTCAACTCTCTATCGTCACACTCTCTCCTACAGCTATCAGGCAGCACCTACCCTACACTACAGGCAGCGGCCCCTTGGCTGTGGCTGCCTCTCCTGTTTTTTTGTTTTCTTTTTAAGTTTACGAGCCTCTGCTCGCGACAGACTCCTTTCTGTCCTGAACTTTCTTTGTAGCCTCTGTCCATCTACCTGTTTCTGTCCTACCATTCTGCTTTCACTACCTGCCTAAGCCCTATTTCTTCTTCTTTTTTTTTTTTAAATTTGGACCATTTCTCGATTTATGCGTGTCATCCTTGCGCAGGGGCCATGCTAATCTTCTCTGTATCGTTCCAATTTTAACGGATGTCCCAAAGGACAACCTAAGCCCTATTTCTATAATCCCTTATTTCCACTATTCCTGTTTAAATAAACCCCTCCTCACTCGTTCTTCTTCATTTCCTGCTTAAATAACCCCCCCATATATATATATATTTTTTTGGAAACCAACACAGGCCCCTTCTATTCTGGGGGGCAACAGTCCGGTTGCTTATCCCCGGCAAGCGTGTTTGTACAAAAACAATGGGAGAAAAAGACAGAAAAAGAGGGCAGCCTAACCCTTGTGGCACTAGTCGCCTAAGCAAGGGGGGGCTGCACCGCACTCCCCCAACCAAGCATTGCCCTCCCCCAGTGGGCTACCCTATTGGCCGGGAGGCTTACTAGCAGCACCCAGCCACGCAGTAGGGTAGTTCACCGCTGGGCAGGACCCGCGGGGGTGGAGGTGGCGGGGGAGGTCCGGGGTAGTCCCTGAGGCCTGCTTGTCCAATCATCATCTATTTCCTGCCACTCCAGAGCCTACCTAGCTTTATCGCTACTTCAAAGCTTACACGGTTTCTGTTTCAACCGCCATGTATCTATCTATACCCACCCTCAAAGTCAAATTTCGTATTCTGCCTTCCACCATTAATTGCCCCAGCATTTGTATGCCTATCTATATCATCCATCAGAATCACATTGTACATCTGCCATTGATGGCCCCAACATTTCCTATTCCTTTCCCCTATATACCTATCTATAACATCCATCAAAATTACATTGCGCATCTCCCATCTACTATTTGATAACCCCAACATTTTCCTGTTTCTTCCTCACAAGGCCGTCCATCCTCCCTACCTACTTTTCCCGCCCCTTACCTATCTAATCACCCACCTTTTGTACCTACCTATCTGTTCTACATCTACCACTCACCAAATCTTTGCTACTATTCCCATCCCGCTTTTCCCATTATCCTTCCTATGTTACAGACCGGTTGCTCTCATAATCCTCTATACCCCTCTGTCTACTCATCCTCCTCTTCCCCCTCTCCACCCATCCTTGGCCCTTGTTGCCTCAGTGCAGGGCCCAGCTGCATTGACCCGTCTGAGGGTGTCGGGTGAGCAGCTGCGGGTAAGGTGCCCATCGTGCCCAAAAACATTCCTCCTGCCTTCCTTTGCACGTGCTTCGGTACCAGTCCGCCGAAAGGGCAACTCTGATGTTCTCCATTGCCCTTCCTTGGTAGGCCCGCAGTGGCCGCGCAGCTCCCTGCTCCTCAAAGTCCACAAAACCCACAGCACTGCCACCCTAATGATCTCTAGAGCCATCTGGTCCCGCGGTTGTGACCTGTCCACCTTCATCAGGGCCCCAAGAAGGATTATTGCATCATCCGCCTTTGTAACTCCCAAGGGGGTTTTGTCCGCCATCTCCTGTGCCCACCACTCCCAAAAGGCTCGGACCAACGGGCATCTCACAAAGAGATGTGGGATGGTCTCCACCTGGCCACACCCTGCTGAACATTGTTGATCCTTGTGTTGGCTTCTTGCTGCCAGCCATTGTGCTGTAGGAATTGCGAGGTGGTACAGCTGCCACAACAGGCCCGCCTGTTTTTGGTCTGGCAGCGCAACAAGGGTGGCATTTCGCTCGTTCCATCTACGCTGAGTCCAACCGTTGACATACACATCTGGAAGCCAGTCCCTCTTGGCCAAGCGGTTTTTCAATTCTCCACATATGTCCACCGGGTCCAATAGAGAGTAATAGATGTTCTTCGTAGCGAGATACTGGAGCTGCACCGCGTTTCTCTGCATCCTACAGGCCGACCATTGCCACTTCCCTGGATCCCACTGCAAGTCCCGCTTTCGCACGGCAACCCAAAATGGCAAGTATTGCCCTTTCGTATCCGGGCCTCCTTCACACACCGCCACCGTCTGTATCTTACTTCTTTCCACCATCTTCTGGGGGGGGGGCTTCTTGTGCAGCACACTGCCAGCGGGGCTCCCCCAGTCCATCGTACCCGGAGGACACCTGCCAGGTGGTCACTTCAAGCTTGTCATCCGGCAGCATCTGCTCGACCCAATAAACTTTATCCGGTCTTAAAGTCCCTTTTATCGTCACCCATTCCCCCGGAGATATGTCATCTCTTCTTAACATCTCTATCCACTGGGGGGGAATGACGTCTCTCAGTTCTCCAAGCCTTTGCCTCTTCCGCATCCGTCCCTGTAGCAATTCCAACACCTCATCTTCAGAGCGCCAATCCCTGCGGTCCTCGTCCCATAGATGCCCGACTTTGTAGATTTCCCGTTCCGCCCATTTCCACCCAAATTTGCTCCTTGTGCACCATGCCACTGAAAGGGGCTTGCCGGCTTCGTCGCAGATGAATCTGTTGTCAAACAACAGTTGATTATATACTGCATCTGCTGTCCCCGGTAGACGACATCTTAACCTCGTCTTCTTCCACAATGCCAGCTTAGTGGACCATACCGCGTCCCTGCGGATGCTTTGCGGCTAAGAAGGCACAGATCTACCAGCTCCCTGGGAACTTGAAGTGCATATGCCAGGTGGGTCCTAGTGAGTTCTTGCCAGGGCCTCCCTACCGTGGCCAACAGATGCCAGATCAATTG